AAGTTTTAACTACTGTGTTTACAGGGACAGCCACAAGAACTTATCCTGAACTATTCTAATCCATTTCACACTCGCACTTTCTATTTATTTAAGATCAGTTTTAAAAATTTCTACATTTCTCTAGAGGTCTCTTCAGGTTTATGAGCCATGTAAAGAAATATTAAGTCGAAGATGGCATCAGGGCGATGAAACACTCGTCACCCTGGCACTCGTCACGTTGGCAAACATCTACCATACAACACGGCGCAACAACCCAGAAGACAGAAATGCTCATACTCACCGCTGTGAGAACCTTAGATACTACAAATATTAAGGCGACGAAATAATAAGATAAATAGGCTAAGCCTGTGCTGAGCAATAGGAATCATCTGAGGCAAAGTCTGCTTGTGAACCGCACCGAAGTGCTCTTAAATATACTATGGTGCTCTAAGCAGTGTCCTGAAACACGACAGAGACGAGTTCGTTCTTTTGTAATCGTAATTTCTTCTGCGACAAACAAAATTTATAAAAGCTTGCAGTAATTACACTTAGGCATATGTTCTTATACTTTAGAATTTATATTTTCTAAAAATTAAAATGTGTTGGTTTACAAATACCAAAAATATAGGCACCAAACAGCCTGTATAATACAGCAGGTTCGTAAAGAGGGCTAGATATATTATTTATTTATTTATTTTACTCTTTGCGTAGATTTATATAAGGTATACGGGGGCATGTTTTCGTATTATTATTGACTCTGTAAAATTTGTAATTTAGAAACACGAAAATAAGCCTTGTACCAAGCAACATACCAACAAATTGTACATAAACCAGGAAGTAAAACATAACACAAACTTTGCGTCCTAGCCACAGGATTGAAGAAAGCTGTTATATTCACACCTAAGTCCTATTTACCCTAGCATTTTGAAACCGATTACTTCTCGTGTAGAGTTATTAAGAGATGCATAACATCCTAATTGCAAACATTTATAAGGACAGACAAATGAGTTTGAACACGCTGGATAATGTATTCTCTTTGTTTCAGGTGTCACTTGGAGCATAAGCCAGGTGAACTGCAAACTACGGTGACGTGAGTATAGCATCTTGTTTATTAAGACAGGATTCAATCAAATAATCTTTTGCTATGATTATAAGAATTTTGTAAGTAGAAATTCACTCTACTGTGTGCAATGCAGTTCTCTGCATGTTGATACCAGATGTGTTCTCAGAGATTAATATGCAGAAGGAGAAATAATATAATATACTGATATTTTGTATATATATGATTATACTTCTCTCCCGCTTAATCATCCTCTCCTCTTGGTGGTTGTTATGGGATACAATGTAAGGTAGGGCTACAATGCATGGAGTAATGTATGAGCTTAGTAGTATCTTCGCCATTAGGTGCCACGACGATAAAATGTACAAATTATTTGTGATGTCACATTGTTTAGTTCTAGAACCTGGATTTAAAAATGAATAAAAATAATCCAATGTATGTTTGTTGCAGCGTATTAACTTTTCTTGCCAGTTAAGAGATCAAGTACCAAGTTATTTTACATCGTTTACGAAATTTATTAAAGAAGCGCTTAGAAGATTAATCTAACATAGACCTATTATTGACACAACGTACGAGTTCATTATATATGTGTGATACTGCGTAATAAGTACGCAGTTAGTGGGCAGTGCATATAATTTTAGTACAGTAGGTTTAGTAGGTGTATATGTTAACCTGAATGACATTATGAAATAACCGAAGTTAAACACAAATTATATACATATCTACTTCAATGCATGCAATAATAGGATATTGTATGTTAATTACATAGTGTTAATTGGATAAAATTAGATGCTTAAAATAAATACAGAATTTTGTACAAAAGATTGTGTTGTCCCAGGAAAGTAAAAGAGGAGAATAAGGATAAAATTCGCTTACTTAGAGACGAATTATGCACTTGTAAAGTGGCAGTAGGTCGAAGGGATACGACTATGTGATTTGCGCTTCTTATCCACTCATTTAAAGAGATCCCAGCTCATAAATTCACGTAAATCTGTCAGTTTCTTTCTTTGGCAATAGTTAATTCATAATAACGCGACAGGACGCGGGTAGGGCAAAGTTAAGCCTTACTAAACACCCCGCCACACACGCGTTCTTATCTCCGACACCTCACTGAGGATGAGTGCTTAGCTTTGCGCTCCGGTCGCTTTATCACCGGGATAGATCCTGATACTCATTGGACAGGAGGCTGGGTGGATCACAGAGCCAGTCTGGACATTGTCATTGTCTGCTTTCCGGGAATCGAACTCCGGTCGTCCAGCCCATATCCTATTCAACATACTGACTTTTCCGAACAAGGTTGTGGTGTGGTTAATGACACAAAAGTGGGGAATGGGTTGAATTAGCCATCAGAAATGTTTTAACAAAATTGTTTCAAAATTGTTTCTGTATAAGCATAAGAAGTCTCCAAAACAGCGTAAAGTTTTTGAAGACAAAATCTGGAATTAAATTAGAATAAATGATTGAATGGACAGGAAAGGTGAAGTCCGACCACGCTTTTGATACTTCTTTTTTCTTATACGTGTTTTGTATGTGAACGTTAAAGGTCTAAACATTCGAAGTTGACAGAAAAAGTTATTATATTACTTAGGAATTGTTTTTTTGATTTCGATTTTAATTTACATATAATAGGAATAAACAATAAATTTGCTTTTTATCTGTTGAGAAGATCTCTTTCAATTTATAATATAAGTCTTAATCTTCTGTTATATAAGATAGGCCTACATATATTTGTATGTACTTGTTTGTTGAAGTTTTGCTATTATGAAACACTGACTTTTATTACACGCGAGTCATTCAAAGGCCTACAGTGGTACAGTTTTGGCGTTTAAATGTTATAGAAGCTTATAATACTGACTCCTGTAAAATTGATTACATGTTTGTGTACATCTTATTTTGTTAATTGTATTTTATTATGCAACAATATAATGTATTGTTATATATAAGCATTTATTCAAGTACAGTATTTTCAACGCTTCTGAGTTACAGTTGTAGACGTCAATTACCTCAAAATTTTGCGGAAGTGTTTTCTGGAAATTGTTTGTTTATGATAAACACGGCGCAGTTTGCATATCAGGACATGACACATACAAAACACGTACTGGGAGTAAAGTATTTCTTATTTATTTACCTGGTTGCCACTGCAGACGACTGGTAGCACCTGTACGCTTCAACGTCCCTCCCATAATTGAAGTTTTTTAGGCTTTTCGCGTCCGAAAATATTGAAGATATATTTTACAAATAAGTAAGTGCAGTGTCATGAATAGGAATCGAATTTGGTTTGGGAAGGAAGTTTGTATTAGCCATGACAGTATTTCAGGAAAAGGTGGAAATTGACTTCTTTCTTTGATCCTATTTTTTGGGGGATTGCTTTTCTAAATAACTCACGGTACTTGATATTCTGAGGGAAGCCGTTTTCTTCAGTTAATCCTTTGAATTTGGTTTTGGATCCTGTTGAAACACCAGTTAACACTGCAGACGTGGGCGAACCGTCAAACAAATCTTCTGTGCGTCAGAATCGTCACCACACTAGCACCGTACGGGAAATTCCAAAGACTCGAGCAGCTTCCTTAAAGATGTCAAGTCCTAATAACACTTTTTATTATTATTCTTTAAAATAGAATATCTGATATAGCAAATAACGGGCCCGTAGTTGACCTTCAGGCAGAGTTGATCACACAAAACGACACTCGCATTCAGCATATTTAACATGGCTACAATAGGCTTTTTCTTGTTTTTGTTTATGTGAAGAGTTGTTTTTATATGTGGACTTCGGGAGCTGCACCTATATTTGTTACCAGGTACTATGAAGATCAACAAAATAGCCTGAACCAAGGACGTTGATTCATCAAGCCGTTCGTAACGTGGTCCTTCCGTCTCGCTGCTTGTGTTGCCTTGTTATGCGATTCATTGGACACCAAAGCAGTTTAGGTCCTGAGTTTCCGTAGAACGATAACATCCGGTGACACATTTAAATTCCTTTCAGTTTGTAAAGAGTTTCACCACAGTTCATCTCTGCAGTTACTACATCCAAGTTGGACAGAAATCCCACTTTAAAACTTCCTTCAGTGATTGGCACTATTCACTCAAATTAGTGCTTTTTAAAGCTTGAAAGTCACTTAAATTATTCTGTTCTTCCATGGAATTTGCTATAGTTCATCACACATATGAGATATGGGGCTAAGGCAAATGTCATCTAGCTATTTTTTTGTTCCAGTATTCAGATTGTGACATAAAAGAATTTTATATTATAGTATCCGGGAAGAACAAGTAATCCACTGTCCACTGACGACGAAAAATAATGTCCACTTCACTCTGTCATTTAAATGTTAAAAAACACGAAATTATTTAAATGTTTTATCAGATGCCTTCATGTAGAGCAGGGATGGTAACCTCACAGATATCCACTATGCCTCACAAAAGTTCGACCGAACGGAGCACTCCTTTACATCCGGTGCACAATGCAGTCTACAGCGAAGATGCGGGCACTGCCCCCTGTTGCCCGCTAGTGGGTCAATCACACAACTAAATCCTCGACATCACACTAAGAATATTGGTGTCTTGAGCTAAGCTTCCTCCCTCTCCTCAACTGCCACCACCATCTCTTCAGTAGGAGGTGGAAAAGAAAGCTTTGTAAAGGTGGTGGTGGTAATGCACGTAAAGCAACAGTCCACAACCACCCTTGGTATCTTATCCTTAGAACAGAGGCTTCTAAGCGCAACTTAAGAAAAATCCTTTTAGGAGTAGTGGTGGGGAAATATTTTGTGGAGGGACCTTTGGGCCTTCCATGGATCGGATGATTACTCTTGTGGTAACTAACTCCCAGATTTGGTATTATGGTAGACGTAGTAGTAGGCAGGTAACTGGTGGGAGGTGTGGAGGGGAACGTACGCCGACTGCCCAAGAGAGGGGACATTAGTGGAACATTAACCTAGATTCGAAAAACTTGAAGCACTTCTGCTCTGCACCGTAGCTTTTGGACGTCACCAGCAAAGTGTGTTCGATTTGTCTGCTGTATGATGAATATAACATGTCCGCGTAACTCTGCACTTAAGATGTAGCCAGCTGGTAAGACTTGGAAAGTTATTAGCATTCAGGTTGATGAGGATGTTTGTCTTCTGGGTTCTAGCTTCTTGTAGTCTGGTAGAAGTTAATCGACGTTTCAGAGGTACTTACTGCCTCCGTCGCCCTGATGACGCAGGCGGCAAATATCTCTGAAACGTTGGTAAACTTCTACCAGACTACACGGTGCAACAACCCAGAAGGGAGGCATCTTCATTCTGGACTCGTCTGGGCTATTGAAAATGCGATAATGAACCTTTCAGTTCCAAACAAGATGGGAAATTTCTTGTATTGTTTAATGGCCGTTGGTTTCACAAGATGGGTTCCTCTAAATGGAATCACTGTTACTAAACTCAAATAAAATTATTTCACCCGGAATCTGGAATGAGATTGATATAAGTTTATCCTGAATTAATAATTTTCAACCTGTGAGAACTCAAAAAAGGCATAGCTATACTATGGTTCTAATAAACGCCTTCTCTCACAGGCCAAAGTGATGTTCTCAGCGCGCTGTTCTAGGACACGTCTACATGAAGAGCATTTAGTTTGTTTCCTAATGTTTTTAGATTCAAGTAAATGCAGTCTCTTATTCGCTTCTTCGTTGATATAATTTAAATTCGTTACTGTTATTCTTATTTAGGAGCCTAAATTTATTTTTTAATTTTTTTCGTAAGGTATACACGATAGGTTTTCTCTGAATTTATTTTTAGACCAACGTCTGTAATAGTGTTTAATGGAGCTTCTGTGCTTTTCTTTGTGGTATATGTCTTTTCTACCAAAAATGAACATGAGTATAAACAGTAAGCTGATGTACTCTAATTTTTTTCCAATTCTTCACTGTTAGCAAGAATACCTATATATTAATTTTCATTATAAGAATTAAAAGATAAACAGAGTCATAAATTAACAGTACGTTATAATGGTACAGTCTACACGTTGCATTAATTTTACTAATAATAATTTAACCTTCAGTTTTTATCTCGTAGTTTTTCTTCTTAGCCATACTAGCAGCAAGTTGCCAAGGTCTAAATATGAAATTACAGTGAGAAAAACTGAAGGCATGGACCATTTTGGAGACATGCGTATGTGGCACGATAACATTAAAATGAATCTTAAATAAATAGTGTGTGAAGTTGTGGATTGGACTTGACTGGGTAAAGATATGTTCCAATGGTGTTTTCTAGTGGTTACTAATACTGTGTTTCATGTCCCATAACATGTGGGTTAATTCGTTCACCATTTATGGTATTATTGGCATCTCAAGAAGAATCCTGCGGAATGGAACAAGTAATATCATATTCCGACATTCGATGGGGTAGGCGTGTTTACTACTTCAGCTGCTCATGAACTCAAAAAATGCATATAACAACTGATTAAAAAATATAGCTTTCGTGCCAGCATTAAGCCTATAATTAGTTTGTGTAACCATACAATCCAATTGATTTATCTGGCTCAGGATAAAGACCACTGGCGAGCTCCTGTAATCACGGTAATGAATCTCTGGGAACATGGCGGGGAATTTCTTAAGTAAATGAGCGACTACAAACATCTCAAGAAGAAATCTACTTCACAGAGTTACTTGGTTAATCTGTGCAATCCAACGTAGCTTCAGATAGGCAAATATGTTTTATCCCCCCCCCCCTCCCAGCATGAAATGCAAGAAGTGCTGCTGGTGTGTGTAAACACGCAAGATAAAAATCGGAATGAAGCATTGACCAAGAACTACAAAACAAGTCGATAGTCCTTTCAACCTCTCCACCACACTCACTGAAGGCTGTCCTTCACTTCTTCATACGAAGGACAGGGCGGCTTGAACCACAGGCAGAGAAGTGAGTGATGTTAACGGCAAAGCACGGCGGGGAGAGTTATCGCCAGCAGGAAACGGTCGGTTCTTTCTGACTCTATCAGTCGTTGTCTGGATTATAGGAACTGGATCGTTTCTGAGCGGAGCACCTCAGATAGCTGAATGAAACTTGAAATCGTACTTGGGGAAATATGTATCATTTTTCTGCGAGTGTTTAAGATATATTTTTAATAAATTTGTACACTTTGTACTCCATTGAGTTCGTTTAGTATTGAAAAGCTTATAGTCACCGCCGTCTTTTATGAAACCCTGTCCTTCATTAGTGTACCATTAACAAAACCTCTGTATCCTGAGTCAAATGAGCTGTCCTGTGTGCAGGTAGAGGCCTTGCGAGAGGCTGATCACTCGTACTAGGAGTCCTACAAAAATGTCTAATACTTTAAATAAATGAATAAATGAATGAATTACCTAGACCAAGAAAGAAAGGAACATGTTTTACGTTTCTAATTAACAGTCAGGAATACAAACGATTATGAACTACATTTTAGCAACTCTTCGAGAACTTAGCCTGCTCGTAATTTATTTCTTAATTCGTGAATGAAGTTTTGATTTGTTCCTATTGTTTGTTTCCGAAATATAATCATGCAGAAATATTCATTCAAAATAGATCCTGTTGCTTTGGATTTTAGTTTCTCACAGCGTTGAGTATAAAGATGACTGTCTTCCGGGTTGTAGTGGCTTGCAGTCTGGCAGAGGTTAACCGATGTCTGATTCGCCCAGAAGACAGCCATCTTCAAACTAGCCGCCGCGAGAACTTGAAATCTTCCACAGAAGTATATACTTCAAGGCACTACAACCCAGCAGAGAGCCATTTGCGTACTTCTGCGTTGATGCTATGAGACACAGGGATTAGCACGCTAGAAAGCTGTTATCTCCCTTACAGCAAACAGAATCAGGAAGACTGTCTTCGTGCCAGTCACGGAACTGAAGAAACGTCAGATCATACTAAGAGGTGGGCACCCGAGCATCCAGCTGCGGAAATTGTGTGTGCGTGCGTAATGCAGACATTGATCATTCGACCTCATGAAGAAGTTGAAGGAAAACAGATTTTTACGAGAATATTAGGAAGAAGAAACGTCGAATGCAATTCCTGTTCGTTAAATGTATAATACATTAATTTATTTGAATACTAAAAATGTCATTTTCCGTTTCTCCCAACTGACACTACCTAAAATTTTGCTCCATAATACGTTTCGTGAACACTAAAGTCCATTATCATTATCAACATCATCATAGATTACTTTTTTTGCTCTGTTGAATAGTTCGTTTTCTTTCTGTGGGACGATGCTTGCGTCCTCAATATTTCGGTTCATATTGATAGAACGGCCTAGAGATTCGTTTTGTAATTATTATTTTTAACAGTTCTAGTTACATGTTTTCATACATTCTCATATTTTGTAGTGGTACGCCTGTTTGGTATTTCCATTTCTCTTCTAAATCTTAATTAGGTCTACATGGTTATATTTCTGTATTCGTTGTTCTGACATTCTCTTCAAATGTTCTAGCCGTTTCTTCCGCCAATATCTTTTATTGAACTTACTAAATTTTCCTGCCGATTTTTAAACTCCAGTCGTCGATAAAAACGAGATTTAGGAAGAGCACGCGAATTAGATGGTTTGAACAGTTTTCATTATCACGGAACAAGACTCGTGGAGCATGCAAGGAAGAATACTTTTCTTTGAACGCGTTAAGTTTATATTCTTACAACGATGTCAGATTCTTTACACTGACAATCTAGAAACTAGGCTTCGAACCTGTAGGGAAGCTTCTTTTATTGCGTGTAAGTAATAAATTGCCCTTCTAGTTCTTGAAATACTGGTAGCAGAATATTTTGTCAAAGAATAGGGACATTATTTTTTAAGCTAATATGACGGCCCATAAAATAACGGCACTTCTTTTACTCTGTAAAAAACCGGCAGAGCAACTGACCTGAGGACCGAATTCGACCTTTTGTTACGAATTCTCTTTTTTTTCATATAGCCGTAAATAGGGGTTACGTATCCATTTAAATTTACAATCATCACAGTAATTAATACCTGCTGTATCTTTTGCCAACAATATTGGCTGTCTTTACATTGCACGTAGAGTTTATTACTGAACTGAACTTTTAAGTGCATTTTTCAGTAATAACAAAAATAATAAAGCATATATTAATTGCTACGTATTCTTCTGTATGAGTGTAAAACTCTGAGCTAATATCATAGATTGAGGATTTTTGAAAACAAAGTGTTGAGCAAAATATTTGGATTTAAGAGAGACCATGTTACAGTAGGATGTGGAAAAAACATTTTTTTACACATCGCGATGGAGATCAAATGAAGAAGTGCGGGCACTGTTAAGTGCCACATACATTTTTATTTATTTGTGTTTCTTTTTTAGTTTTGAGATCGTTTGTGCTCACTACAACGACATTCAATATGAAGGATTCTCTGCCGTCATACGACATGCCACCACTAATTCACTAGGCAAAGTAAACAGAAAAACAGCTTCCGTATTGCAAAGCTAAGTAACGTTATGGAGCTCAATCAGTTTTCAAAAGCTTATAGTTGTTCGGCTTCTCGGTAAATTATCCACCTTTTATGGAAATATAAGTTTTATTATTATGGTCACAAGGACGCCACCACTGGATCTTATCCTAAATCAAATAAATCTAATCCG